CAAAAAATAGATCAAGAATATTGAAACCCAAAGGACTTGCTATAGAACGAGAGATCGTTGTGAACACAAGAATTACCATTTTGCTTGCAATCTTTCATCCTTAATTAGCATCGAATCCTTCATATATATATATATATATATATATATAGACACACACACACATACTTGTTGTCCCTGAACCCTCCTTCTCCATTGTTGCCACTACACAATTCCATCCCCACCATAACTCACACACCCAAAAAGAAACTCTAAGCTCCCACAGCACACACCCATGCCAGGCACACCCTTCCCAACTTGGTGCAATTACATAACATACCCACATGTGCAATTAATGCATATAATCACAGCCTAATCGGTGGGAAATGTCACAATCACCTCAATCTTCATTTAACTTTAATTAATTATTGATGTGCAATTTTGAATTTTGTATTTTTAACTGTTTAAATAATTATTTGCAACTTAGTTATCTTTTACCAAAATTTTCAGGCCTAGCTGTCATTAAACGAAAATTTTGGCCCGATCTGTCATTCTCCCTTTCAATAAACCCCATACACGAGAAGACATGCATGATAAATGCTCAACCCTCCCCAATAAGTACTGACAGGGACTTTTGATGCTCCTCCACTAACAACTTCAAATTTAAATTCTCTTGATTCTTTTTATAAGATGCCGGTTGTGATTGTTTAAACATTTAATATTTTTTCTACCGTTTTTTTCAATTAATTTTATATATTGCGCTAATTAAAAAGTTGATAATTTTATATAGTACATTCTCACTCATACTTTTTGTCTTTCACTTGCCCCTTATAAATAAAGACATGCTTGGAAAAAGTTTATGTCTTCCATATTTATTACTTTTTCCTGTTTTTATAGACCACATAATTTGATTATTAGGCTCTTATAAAAAGGATTAAATGAGTAAGTTGGAAGTATTGAATAAGCGGAGGGGGCATGCACGAGGGTGGTTGCACGTTACTACAGTGGGGCCAAAGTCAATTGAATGAGTAGTGGGGAGCCATTTAATATAATTTCAGTTCAAAATGATTTTTAAGAAAATGGAATGAAAGTAAAATATAACCAGTTGGAATAACATACATGAATCATTCCATATTTAGAAGGGTCACATTAATTGAATAAAAAGAAAATCTTTTTGTTTTGACCCTTCTATAGCATCCTACCATCCTGCACTGCAGAAAGAAAGCTCAAAAAAGAGGTAGCTGGTGTGATGATGCATTAGACCGGTCACCGGTCTAGGAGCCAAACACTTCATGCATATCAAAAAATGTATTAAATTAACAAAAAATTTTAATTTTATTTTTATTAACATTTTTTCTCTTACCTTTACAAATTAAATCATTTTTATATCTCTCATTTCTTTCTCACTCTTTAGTGAGTTAAATAAAAATAAAATTAAAAAAATGATTATAAGTGACCTGCATTTAAGAGCGAAGTGGTATATATCCATAATAAAGATCTACTCCTCTGGTCCTATTTATAAGGCACTTCCAACAAGTTTCACACAGACCAAGAAAAACCTTAAACTGCATTAACTCCTCATTAAAATATAACAACTTTCCAACTTTACCCCTATTTAATATATACCTTTTTCAAAAAAGTAACTATCTACATCATAATAAATGAAGGACAATATGGTAAAGTCATAGTAAAAAGTTAATGAGGTGACTTATAAATAGGATAAAAAAAAACCTTCTCTCTCTGTCCTATAAATAGGACCAGAGGAGTATTTAGATGTGTGATGGCATTTAGATCACGTGGAATTCAGGTGGCAACCATACTGAGCAATTTTGTTGTCCTCACTCCTCAAGCAAAAGTGTCAATGGTTTCAAAAATTTGATGAAATGAATAACAGATGAAATGGAAATTAGTACCCACAATCCATAATATAAGAGCTAGATAACTAATTTGAGAAGGCTAAAAAAATTAGTTAAATTGATTAATTGTATGTTGACTTCCCTAAACTATTCCCTCTAATCATGTGCATTGGAACCCACCTCTTGGCAAGAACCCCTTACAATCAATAGGGATATTTCAGAAAGAAAGCTATAAATTTAAAAGACAAAATGGATTGAAGTAATATATTTAGAATCCAGTCCAACCCTTCAACAAACTCTTATATTAATAACTGGAGGGTGGTAAGGGGGAATATTTATACTGCTACTTGAGGAGGATTATGCATGTAACAATCTCTTTGCGAAAAATAATAAAAATGGCAATGATCACCCACAAATCCACAAAAAAAAAAAAACAAGAAGACAGAAATCCAGCACAATTACAAATACAGCCTGTTTGAAACCAACAATAATAATAAAACAAAAACACTGAAGTTGAAGAGGAGAACGAATAGTCTTTGCTAACACTAACAATTTGCTCAAAGGCGATAGATTGAACATGAACACGAAAGTGAGATTGATCTCTGAACACAAAGTCTCAGATTGAAGACGCTGAGAGTTTCTGAAGACAAAGGTGCGAGCGCGAATGAACATGGTATGTGTACACGGCAACCAATGTTAAAAGTAATTGATTTAAACAGATCAAATAATTTAAATAACTACTATTTGTAAAGGTTGTCACTTTAATTGGTGGAAAATGTATTTCTTTTTACATTGGTTACTAATGGAATTAGTATAAAAAAGTCTTAACAGTCTGGCATTTTACTTATGAAAATACCACGATCACACTTCTTACACTATTCTCACAACAACCAGCCTAGAAGTCTCATTGTGGAAATGTCTTTTTTTGTTTTTGGTACTCGTGATTAATTATGAGACTTAACTGTCATTAATTTTTTATTCGCAATTAATTGTGACTTTTGTATTTGCAACTTCTCTTTTAACAAAATTTTATGGGGATAGCTATCATTCTCCCTTCAATAAATCCTATACGAAAAGACATGGTAAAGACTCCACCTTCCACTTCCCATGGCGTTGGGGACCCTTGTGAAAAAGCTGGAGCCTAGAGATAAGTGCTCAACCCTCCACAATAATTAAGCTCTGACAGGCACTTTTGATCCTCCTTCATTAAGATCTTCAAATTTAAGTTCTCCTGATTTTTTTTTAATAAAATCCAGTTGTATTTGCTTGAACATTTAATATTTTTTTTACCATTTTTCTCAATTAATTCTACATATTACGTTAATTAAAAAGTTGATAATTTTGTATACTATATTTTCTTTCATACTTTTTTTTCTGACTTGCCCTTTATAAATAAGGACATACTTAAGAAAAAATTCATGTCTTTCATATTTATTAGTTTTTATTATTTTTTTAAACCGCATAATTTAATTACTAAGCTTTTATGAAAAAGACTGAACAGAGTAAGTTGGAAATATGGAATAAGTGGAGGAGGCAAGAGCGTAGATGCAGGTTACTACGGTGGGGCCAAAGTCAATTGAATGAGTAGTGGAGCCATTTAATACATGACCTATCCTAATGATGACGTTTACTTTAATGATTACAAGAGGACGAAATAAACTACAGGACAAACCACTTTAATAAAGCTACTTTTATAAAGCTACTTTATTAAAGTAAAAGTAGATGACGATATAAAGTGGGAATCTGGCAGGTCCCACCTTATCTTCAGAGTATCTAAAAAGGAGATTTCCTGATGATGATGTCCCTTAGTCTTTATAGATAGGCTCATGGCTAGGGGATAGGTTCATGATGCCTTCTGGGTCAGGATCATCTGAGTCATAGTGTCTCCTTGAGTAGTAGTATTCTTCGAGCTCTGGATCAGGATCTTCTTGGTTGGGGTCCTGGGATTTTTAAGAAAATGGGATGAAAGTAAAATATAACCAGTTGGAATAACATACATGAAACATTCCATATTTAGAAGGGTCGTGTTAATTGAATAAAAAGAAAATCTTTTTTGTTTTGACCCTTCTATAGCATCCTAGCTACCATCCTGCACAGCAGAAAGAAAGCTCAAAAAAGGGTAGCTGGTGTGATGATGAATTAGACCGGCCACCGATCTACGAGCCAAACACTTCATGCATATCAAAAAAATCTATTAAATTAATAAAAAAATTTAATTTTACTTTTATTAAAGTTTTTTCTCTTACCTTTACAAATTAAATCATTCTATATCTCTTATTTTTTTCTCGTTTTTCAATAAATTAAATAAAATTAAAATTAAAAAAAAGCTGGAGCCTCGAGCAGAAGATGAATGAAGAGACAGCGACTCGCACTGTCTTTCCACTTATTGCGATCCAACGATCACAAAAATTTTTGACGCCACTAATGAAATGAGGAAGATGGTCGGAAAAGAACACTCCTTTTGGTCGTTTACATAACTCTACCTCATCAAATTTTTTTAAACAAAAAAAAAAACAAGAAGCTAAAATTGCGCATTTGATCTTCTAATTCTATATAAGATTTCAGTTAATTTGTTAAAATATATTTTATATCCTTTAATTCTAACATTGTTAGTCTCAAATAATGATTTTGTTTTTGTCAATCATTGTTATTTTAAAAAATCGAACTTAATATCTTAACTTTTGATAATGTTTAGCCAGCATTTAATATTCCAATGTCAGCATTTTTGGGTTAGAATGCTAAAAGATGCTTTATAAAATTAAGAGATCAAAATGAAATTTTGTGTAAAGTTAAAGAAACAAATACACATTTATTTATTTTTCAGACACTTTATTTTCAGACACTTTATAAAATATTGTATTTATTTATTCTTCAGACATTGAAAATGCTAAATGCTTCACTTAATGACTAAATATGCATAACTACTCTTCCACCCCCCCCCCCAAAAAAAACCTAGGTGCTTGATACCAAAAGGAGAAGGAGAATGTACAGCCTGTGAGACTCAACACCCAACCAAACACATTTTTCTCAATTAAATTTGGTGGGTTCCGCAATCGTTCGTGTATGAACAAGAGCCACAGAAAGAGTCTATTTAATGCTTCTGCCACAAGGGGTAGGAAGTAGCAAGAGGCCAGAGTCACTTTCTCCACCATTAATCACTATTCTCCAGTCTCTGGCCGTAAACTTTTTAGCCGCCATACAGAGAATTTGGTTTCCCATCAAGCTAAGTGCGTGAGGAACATAGTTGTAACAAGCATAAATCCCAGGATGGACATGGCTCGAGTGTTTCACATGAATGCTGGCACTGGAGAAACAAGTTATGCTAACAATTCCTTATTACAGGCACGTATATATCTTGCTTCATCGTTGAATCTGGTTTGGAGTTTCTAATTCTAATGTGCCTCCTTCTAATAGTTTTTAGTGTCTTTTGTAATTAAACGGCAACTTCCAAATGTTTTTATTCCTTTTGTTGGTTAGATTCTATATAAAATGAGCGATGTTTTGATATCTCATATATGGGCAAGAAATTTTGGAGTATTTTTTTCCTTTGTAAAATCATAAGAAAAATTCAGAACCGCATCATTTTGTGCACATAAGATATCCAAAAAAAAAGGAAAAAGAAAAACGGTATTTGAGAGGCTGGGGTATTACAAAAAATATTAGAGGAAGGCACATTAGAGGCTCTAAACCCAGTCAAAAAGACCATTTCTATAACATTCCTGCTGCATGCATATATGTTCATATAAAGGCGTAGGAAAATTCACAAATATGGTAATACATACTCCCTCCATCCCTTATTATAAGATTCAATTTTTTGAATTGGTTTGTTTCTTTTTATAAGATCCCTTTTGAGTTTGTTTAAACAATAAATGCGTCTTTACCCATTTTACTCTTAATTAATATACTCTCTCTCTCTCACTATCTTTTTTTCATACAATGTCTCCCATTTTTTTCCTCACTCACACCTACCCACTTATAATTAAGGGTATATTTGGAGGGAAAAAGTACATTTTCAACATATTTTTTACTTTTAACTAATTTTAACAGTTTTCTTAAACCACTTAATATAGTTAAGTGGATCTTATAATAACGGACAGAGGGAGTATGTAAGTACTAAAAATATTTTTAATTTACATACAAAATTGACATGGACAGAAAAAGGTGCTTTCTTTAGTGAAGCCAATAAGAGAGGAAGCCATATCCAGCTTCTATAGAGAAAAGCTCCCTCGAAGCCTAGCAATTGCAGATTTGGGTTGTTCTTGTGGACCAAACACACTGTTTGTGACTTATGAACTGATTGAAATTGTGGAGATGCTAAGTAGAGACCTAAACCATGAATCTCCAGAATACATCATCTTCTTGAACGACCTCCCAGGCAACGATTTTAACAACATCTTCAAGTCTCTTGAATGCTTCAAGCAAAAGCTAAGGGGCCAGGTGGCAGATGATGGGATTGATCAATGCTACATCACTGGGGTTCCAAGTTCTTTCTATGGCAGAATTCTTCCTGCTTGTTCATTGCATTTTGTTCATTCGTCCTCCAGTCTTCATTGGCTATCTCAAGTATGTGTACTTAATCACTCTCTATTTGCAAGATTAATCAGTACTCTTGTCCTATTTATTGGGGAAGAGAGAGTGTGTGTGTGTGTGTGTTTTCTGTCCTTAAAGCACAATTTTACCCCTAATTTGTTGTTCTGTAGACCTTTTTTTTTTTGGAATTAAACAAGGACAAAATTGAAAATTCGTTAAATTTTATGATAGAGTTAATATAATGATATATATCTAAGGTTTTTTCTGATTTTAATAAAACATGTTACATGTGCCTTATAAATAGGATGAGAGGAGTATGTTTTTCTACTTACGTACTATGATTATTGAATATTTACTTATTGTCAATTCGTAGGTAGCTGAGATACTTTTCATGCCCCTTTTTGTAAAATTATTGGACTGGAACTCCAAAATTTTGCCTGTTTGGGTTAGCATTGATGTTTCCAAGTATGGAAGCCACCAGTTCCACCAAAACCCATGCATGGAATTCCTTCACGTTTCTCATCATGAACATTGGAGAATTATATTTAAGGCTAATTCTTGGACCTTTTTGCGCTTTGCCATCTACTTCCATCTAACCAACAATGTCATCCTCTTCTCAGCCTCTAACCTAACTTTCCCCCCTCTTCCTCTTCCCACCCCTCTCAGCCTTTACAAGTTAAGCTAACCGATTTCTAGTTTAGGGCCACTACTTGACACCTCCTCAACTCCTTTTTTTTTTTTTTTTCATTTTTTGATTTTGGTTCCAAGGGTTCTGTTGATAGTGATTTCTGATTTATAGTTTCATTTTCACCAACCGTTTCTACTTTCTAATAATTTGCTAGGGTGCTCATGGTAGCCAGCTCTTGCCTTATGATTTCATCGAGATTTTATTGTCTCTTCTTATTAGGATTTTAATTCTGAAATGTGGCTTCCCATGGTTTCTGCATTTTCTGCTATTTCTTGGTTTCATGGCTTTGATTGCTTCTTCGTTTATGGTTTCAATTACTTCTGACTGGTAGATGCTTTGTGTTGAAGGATGTCTGGGGCCTATAATGTGCCTCTCCTTAATATACTTTGTAATTTCCTAATTAATAAATTATGCATTTTTATTTATTTTCTTTTAAAAATCATTAAAAACGGCATCATTTCATTGTCATAAGATATCAAAATATTACTGATTTTTTCTAGAATCTAATTATCAAAAGAAAAATTAAAAAAAACCATTTAGGAAGTTTGTACATTTTAAAAGGCATTAGAGAGCATTAAACAAAGACATATTAGAGGCTTCAAGCCTGTTTTTGGTAGGAGATCGAGAATGATTTTTTTTTTGTTGGAAGGACATTTTAGTGTTTCATGTAACTATAAACACATATATCAATTAAAGATTATAACAAATTTTCATGGACATACTAAAAGTGTCTTTAAACCTCACTTTCGTTTTATTTTCACTTTCACTTTCAAAATATCATTTTATATCAATATATATAATGATTATTAAAATTGTATTTCTTAAAAAAAAATTATTCACGAACTTTTCCCCCTTTAAAATAATCTTTTGTGTTTTTTAATTCATTCCTATAGGTTCCTGAGGGTGCAGAGAACAATAAGGGTAATATTTGCATAACAAAGACGAGTCCCTTAAACGTCCAAAATGCATACTGCCATCAATTTCAAAGAGACTTCTCGTTGTTTCTCAAGTGCCGTGCTGAGGAACTTGGTGAAGGGGGTCGTATGGTTATTACACTCTTAGGAAGAAGCAGTGAGGACCTATCATGCGATAAATCTTGCTACATATGGGAGCTTTTAGCCAAAGCACTCAATGAAATGGTCTTGGAGGTATGCATACGTATATTCTAATTTAATTATATATTCTAATTTAATCATAATACTCCTTCGGTGATAGCATAACAGGAGACATTTCATACAAAGGTCCTGAAACCCAAGAGGTTATCCAAAGTGTTTATAGATGTGACATATGAAAGGCTACTTCCAAAGCCACTATAGCATATGAGTTGTTGAAATATGAACACTTGGATGGATTGTTGGGCTTTAGGACCTCTGTATGGAATATCTCCCGATATGCTATCATCCAGTTCTTAACATAGGACCTAATTGAGGAGTATGTTGATGCTATATATAAGATCTATTTCATATGTTTATCAATTTTTTTTCACCCTATTAATATTTCTAACAGTAATCAAATAGGAGAGGGAGGAAGGGAATTAAGGATGATACTTAGAGTATTTTAGAGAAAAACATATCATATTAACTAATTTAAATAATATTTTAATATACTCAAATTAGTTAATTAGGTCTACATTAATAATTAAAGGAGTATAAATTAAAATCCAACCTAAATCAATCAGTCAAACTAGTGAATCCATGAAACCAGTCTCCCGTACCAGTACAATCAAGTGTTATGGATGGATTGATTAAGTTTGGATTTTGTTTTTTTCTCCTCTTCCTGAATCTGAAACGGCATTGTTTTGCAGCCAATCAAATTTATACTTTAGCAATGTTTTTTTTTGTTGAATTATCTATGGTTTATATATGAATTTTTAATTAACTTTTGGAGTAATTCATTTTTTATTTAAATATTATCCTTATCATGATTATATATGATTATTTTTTTATATTTTAATTAAATCATATTATGTTAATCATAATTAGATTAATTCCATTTCTATTACATTGAATCAGTCCAGTTAAATTTTCTTTGAAACAAATATATACATAAGTTACTTGTTATATGAGATAGTGGCATTTCTCAATCCCACCTCTATGGGTTTGCCTAATCCCATATAATAAGCAATTATTTATGCTAAATACTATTTTAATGATTTTTTTCAATTACAATCACAATCTCAATACCTCATTTTCAATGCTTCTTACCGAACGGGACTTAAGAGTTTATAAAGTGGAGGACTTGCAATTTTTCGACATTCTTTGACTTTCAAACTAGTTTGGATGACTTCTCTACTAGAGTATAATGTTTTGGAGGCTTGGGAGCTTGAGGCGTTGAGTTTTGAAGATATTTGGATCTCCAATATAATATTAGCTTCTTTTCTTTTGTTTTCTTCTCTTCTTCTCAATTTCATCAATGGCTGCAATGTATGTATATATCGTGGTTATCTGATGAACGCGAATAGCTAGTTAGGTTGTTCTAGGATTACTTTGAGCTATTGTATGAATTAAGACTTTATTTATCTCTCTTTAGTGTTAATAATAAGTATGTTATTTTTACCTTGAGTTAAATTTTTCTTTATTATCGGTCATTGCTTGGATTGATTTGTTTAGTTGATTTAAGCTTGAGAAAGATAAACGAATTGTAGAACTTGGATAAAATCATACTAGACCTAAAATTTATCTATTAAATAGATGGTTTGTTGATACAATAGAGGTATATCTATTGACCTAACATTATTCAAATGAGGTTTTGATTTTCAATAGTAATCTTTTCAACTAATACAAGAGATTGTAAAAGCTAATCAAAATTGCAAAGTTTGGTTATGACTTAAAAAAGCTTAATCAACTGTTTGTGAACCTTGGGATAACATTATCATTAAAACACTAATGGAGATTTTTTTAATCAAATTTAATTTTATAAAATACAAGACTAAGAGATAATCCTAGGTTTTAAATTGTCTTGAATTCAAGTGTCGAACTCTATTTTTCTATTTGTTTTCAAACCATTTCTGTGAAAATAAATCTTATTTCCAAATGTTTTCACTTCAGATTAGAGCACAATTGTGATTTTAACTCGTTTGGCTTTAATCTTTGAAGGAACAATACTTTTATACTATTTGCGACCCCGTGCACTTGTGATTTACATTACATGGTGAATAGATAGTTACAAAAAAGGTAACATTAAGTATTAAAATTACGATAAAACACAATTTAAACTATTTATTAAATTTATCATCAAGGTTTATAGGGTATTAGTATATATATGAAACCTGTCTCTGGTCATGGCAGACACAACTGCCATTTTGAATCCTCGATGCAGGCCCTTCAACAAAGGAGACAAAAAGTTTTCAATTTTCTTCTAAATAATAAACGAGCAAGCAACTTTGTCCGTTTATAAACAAACACGCATGTAGATTTTCAATAAGCCCCAAAAAAAAAAAACATCTTAGAAAACTTATCCCACACTAAAAGGAGTGATAGATTCTCTCATGGCCAGACTGTTGAAATAAAGGAGGGATGGGTGGAGTCATGGGGAGACTGACACCCTATCTCTTTCCCTATCCTCAATTAATGAAGGGGCCCTGATTTCTTTATTTGATAGAAGCACCAACTTCTTCCTAAAAATGCAACTATTTTGTGCATGTTTGAGATCTATATGTGAAAAATTAATTTTCTATGAAAACCTCGGTTTTGATATGCAATGGAACCAAGATTTGATTATTGAATTCTCACTACATGGTAACAACATAAGTGAGGCGAGTCATTTAAAACAGAGCAGAGGAATACTGGCGAGGAGACGTTCAATGTAGTCAGTGAACGAAATCCTTTGGTTAACAACCTATCTAAAAATTTGGTTATTGATAGAATATAATAGCATTGTGTGATTCACATAATTAATCCTACCTAGTGGGATATAAGGCTAGTTGTTGGTGTTGTTAGAACTTATGTATAAAAAAGTGATTCTAACAGCAATCTCGACATTTTAATATCACTTTCCAAAACCTTATATAACAAAATCTATTATACTCAGAATCATTATTTTTTATCAATTTTGTTCCTCTACTGCTAATCCTAACACACTGAAGGTGATTTCTGAATCCCCTTTGGTTATACAAGTAATGACCTTATAATGCGAAAAGGGGACCATGAGTACGACAACAGAAGGAATACAAAGTATTGTGAGGGAACGCTGGGTGTGGTGCGTAGCAAGAATTATTGACTTTTGGGATGCTTAAAAAATAGATAAATCTATAATTAAAAAATAAATGACTCATTTGGATGCTTAATTAGCAATACCATATATTGCTATCATAAATATAGGAAATAGATAATTCATTAGAAATATTATGAACAGTAGTTGAGTTAGCTATTTATAATATATGTGTATTAGTTTTTCTAAATCAAGGTACCTCATTTACTCATTATCTCCATTGATGAATATTTTAATATTACAATTAATAGAGATAATTAGGTAAACTAATCATAAATTTGAAACGCAAGTGGATTGGGGTTTTCCATTTAAAAGTGTTAAGGATAATTTTTTTCCTCATGAGTATTCGCAAAAATGCCATGAGTATCCAAAAGTATTTGTTTCCTCAATATCGCCCTAAAAATGTTTAAAAAGAAGCAATCTCCCTTTCCATTAAAAATATTAATGATTAGTGTTAATTTTTTTAATGGTTAAAGTTTGTTTTTTAAAGGAAAGAGCGACATTGCTTTTTTTTTTTAAAAAAAAAAACATTTCTAGAGTGACTTTGAGCCAGAAAGAAAAAAACCTCAAATACCCACATCTCCTCTTAAAGGTAAAAATGACCCTTTACCCTATTTAAAATTAAAACAAACCCCTCAACTAATAGTTCCTACATTTAGAACTAGAGGTAGTATATATAACTTTATAATATCCTTATGTTTCCATGAATGCATAAGAAAATCCATAAAATAAATATACTACTACAGATACTTACGGATAATAATTGGTATGGACAGCAAAAGGTGATTTCCAAAACAAAGCCGATCAGAGATGAAGCTATGAGGAGTATCGACGAAGAAATGCTCCCTAAAAGCCTAGCAATTGCAGACTTGGGCTGCTCTTTAAGACCAAACACTTTGTTATGACTTGCAAACTAATCTAAACTGTGGAGATGTTTTGGAGAGAGCTTATAAGCCATGAATCTTCAGAATATATATATATATATATATATATATAATCTTATTTAATGATCTTGCCGGCAATGACTTTAACAACATTTTCAAGTCTCTTGAAGGCTTCAAACAAAATTTATGCACCCAAGTTGTAGGTGGGATTGGTCAGTGCTTCATCACTGGCCTTCCTGCTTCTTTCTATGACAGGATTCTTTCAGCTAGTTTTGTGCATTCTGGTCATTCCTCCTAAAGTCTTCATTGGATGTCTCGAATATGGTTATTAAATCATTCTCTTGTAAATATTATTTACCAATTTTTTTGAGTAAGATTATTGAGTAATTTATGTATTCTCCATATATATAGGGGGTTAAGGATTATTTTTGCCAAGGATGTATTCGCGAAGGGGTGGTAAGTATTTGGAATATTTTTCCGGCTTAAAAATGTTTTCTTGGAAGTGTTAAAAAAAGAGCAATATCACATTTTTCATTAAAAAATTAAAGTTAACGGTTAATATATATATATATATATTTATTGATTGATTTTTTCACCAATTTGTGGGTGTGGTTATCATCAGTTCTAGGTATACTAGGCATGGTTTTTTTTTTTGTAACATCCTGAATTTTCAGATTTTAAGAGAACCAATAAAAAAATTATTAAATTATTTAATACGTAAAAAAATTATAAAAAATCATAGAATAATATTTTGAGGAATTAGAAATTTTATGAAAAATTTTATTCCCCAAAAAGTGACTTAAATAATTTTAAAATTAATTTCGGCAATTAAGAAGACCTATTTCTTGAAAATTCAAGAAAAAAATAGTTAGAGAATTATTTTTGAGTTGAAGTTTTTAGAATAACTATTTTATGAGTTAAAGAGGTTAATTGAGGTATAAAGTTCTTAAAATGAATTAACAATTAATTTGTGAAATTAAGCTCTATTTTCTTGGAAAATTCAACAAAAATAGTTAGGAGTTGACTTTTTATCCAAAATTTTTGGAGAAATTATT